GAACCTGCAATTTGATCAAGTTTTGTATTATCATATCAATTTTAATGTAATAATAAATATTTTATTATAATTTTCTTTAGTTTAGAAAACCATTTTTACTCTTGGTTGAAGTGCTCTTAGATTTTTTATTCTTAACCACTTTTGATCCAGCGACTAGGGCCTGAAGACTTCGAGCTTTCGCTAGATCATCAACATTGATCATCGACGATCCTTGATCACTCATAGCCATAAAATATGATTCATCTTCTTGTCTAAAAACAGAGAGAAAACAAAACAATATGTTTGTAAATAGTTGTAGCCATATGAAACAAATGAAAAGTAGGGTTTTGAGGTCTTCTTCTTACTTTGAGACAGTATCTCTTGTGGAAAGAGAATATACAGAAGTTACAGAGAGAGAGAAGAGTACGAGGAGGACGATGAGTAGAAGGTTGGAAGCCATTAAGAAGTCGTCGCACTTGTGTTTTTGCCAATGGATCGAATAAAATATACCTTATATGAAACAAGACTTTGCTATTTATATTGTGATTTCTCTATTTACATATTTGCCTTTGGTTTATTTTCATAAATCAATTAGATACTCAGATAGTTGGATATCCGCGTGGACCGATTGGTAGGTAGGTTGTCTCTTTTTTTTCTCTTGATTATGGATTAGGCTGTCTCGTTTGACTAGAAAACGGCCTTTTATTTTAAAATTGTATTATATATGATGATTAGGGGAAATTATATTTTATTTCTCTAAAAAAAGTAGTAAACATTATACTTTAATTCATCAAGTAGTAACAGATTTCCAAGAAAAAACACAAACTTAATGTCAAAGATTTACAATACTACATAAGTTCATATTTGTTTTCAGTAATTACACATACTCTCCTCCTTTATTTTAGTTTGACACGTATCTTATAAATATAAAGTAGAACATATCTCATGACATACACATAACAACATTATAATTGATTAGATCAGGACTTAATTAATTGATTAAATCTTGACACATACCGGATCTTTAGATTTTAAAATTTGTTATAACATTTAAATAAATAAAAAATAATTTCCATTTTGTGGAAGTTGAAAGAGAAAAGGTTTTTGGTTCACTAATATTTTCTTATTTAATAAATTTTAAATTTATCATACACAATATTTATTTTAGTTATTATCCCCTTCCTATTAAAAAAGAAGTACAGTTAGTTATAATGATTATTTGTTTTAATCTTATTGGCTCAAAACTATGACTTGTCATGGAAAAATTATGACATATCTATAGAAAAAGATGACATGACTTAATCTCTAATTACTCTTTTAACATAATTTTTATCAT